ATGTTCAACTAAAGTAACTCTGACCTGACCTGTTTAAATAAGCTATTGACCTGGAAAAATGAGAAGTGGATGAAAGAACAGATATTAACACAGATTATTGCTTTTTCCTAAAGAAGTTTAATAAATACAAATGAATCCTCAAAATGAGGCCTCTAAGAGCCTAGATGGAGTGGGGAACTTCTTATTCTGTGAAGTTTGGATTCAGTCAAAGGGCTGCACTTGAGGACATAGAGGGCCACACGGGGCCTTGAGGCCAAAGGTTCCCTACCCCTGGCCTAGGAGCTGCCTTAGCTAGCAAATAGTTGCTCTTCTTACCAAGCAGAGAAATATGTCAGCTAAGGGCAGTGTTGGTTTAGAAAATAAACTCATTTGTAAAATCTTATAGAGGAGGATAGTGGGAGATTATTAGCAGTACTACCTAATAAACCAGTGAGACACAGTAAAAGGAAAAACACATTTACAGAGTACTTGGTGAGAAACCAGTGAAGCCAGATCATCACAAGAGCATCTAAGGATGAAAGTAGAAGGAAAACCAACAGACTGGAAAACTGAGGAAAGATCCATTAAGATTTCTACAACAAACCTCCAACTCTTCTCTGTTAATGCCAGTGGAGCCAATACATTTGGTCACTAATATCATAATCCCTGGTGCATTATATGAAGAGGCAAAAATGTCAATAAAGAAAACAGAGTTGAGAAGAACAGCTGGATTAGGTCAAATGTACAAAAAGGAGGCGTGTGCTGGACGTGACAGAATTCTGAGGGCAATGGAAGACAGATTTCTTAAGGTGTTGGGAAAAGGGGAAGGATACCAAATAATGTGGAAAAATCATCGATTTGATGATTAACAAATAAAAGTATTTAAGAAAATATCAATAACTACTGACTTACATGCTTACTTTCTCATTTCTACAAAATCTTTATGGGACTAATCTATTGTGGAGATGCTTGGTGAATATGCAAGAAGGGAACAGGCAGGCTTTCCCAGATGATATCCTGCAACAGAGAGACCTTGACAGGTACACAGTTAACAGGTGCAGAAAAGACAAGATCCCACTGTACTTATTTAGTTTCTTCGGTACAAAACAACAACAAAAAGAACATTCCATCTGGAAGTGCAAAAATGCCACCTAAAAGGCTTCCTTCCATCATGGCGACTCCATTTTGGTTTTGGTTTTGCTCCAGACCTAAGCTTTCATTGGCAAAGCAAGTTCTTGGTGAGGAAACTCCCTCTACCAGTGTAGATCAGCAACTGTCCAGAACCTTATAGTCTTGGAGAGTTGTTAGGGAAACGGAGAAGTTAAGTGATTTGCCTAGGGTCACACAGCTACTGTGGGTCAGAGGCCAAATACTGTGTTGGTTGATAAAAATGCAAAGCCAAAAAATGAAATGAGGTCTCTGCCCTTAAGAAGCTTACATTCCACTGGAGGATACAATATATACACAGATAAAGTCGATTTCAGCTACATGGAAAGTAAATGCACAGTAATTTGAGGCAGTAGTGAGGTTAGCAAGGGAGGGGTGGGGAGGAAATAATACTTCTTTGTATCTTCATTGGTGTGTAGCACAAGGCTATTCATATAACATGTTCTCAGTAAAAAGAAAATTGTCTTTAAATAAATGTTTCATTGGTGCTTTTCCCCCCACACAGCTGGAACTTCCAGTGAACCCCCTTCCCTCTTCCTCCCTACACCCATAAACCCCTTCTTTTCTTGGAATTAAATAGATAAATAAAATAAACCAACACTTTGGCCATGTCTGAGGGAGACAGCTTGGAGTGAGCCCCCCAAAGTCAAGATTAGTCCTTGAATTGATGGTTCTGATGGCTTTCAATATATTGTTTTCCTTTGCATTACTTTAGTCATTGGGTAAATTGCTCCCCTGGTTCTGCTTACTTCATTTTGAATCCATTCATAGAAGTCTTCCCAAATTTCTCTGCTTCTTTATATTCAAAAATACAGTAATATTCCATTACTGTCACATGCCACGATTTGCTATTCTTCTCCAGTTGATGGGTTCTCAATTTACCTCCTGTCTTTTTTTTCCCTCAGTAAAATCTCTATCATGAGAATCACTACCCTATGTTCTCTGAAGCAGCCCATTCTACAACCTTCCCCTTTCCCTCACGTTTACCATCAAGGACAGGGGAGAGGGTTGTCTGAGCTTCATAGAAATATTCTTCCCTCGGGAGAGCAGCAAGGAAGAAGGGAAGGAGGAAGAAGTCGGAGCTTGCAGCTGGATGGAGACTTTAGGTAACTTACAAAGACAGAGAAGTTTTTTGTATTAGGAGATGGAAGGAATTCTGAGGAATGAGGAGGGGGGAGGCAAGGAGGGGGGGTGGCACTGGGGAGAGGCAGGGTTGACTCACCCTGGGGCTCAGGGTGAGCTGCTCAACCTGTCTCTGTCCCTCCAGGGGGTAGGGGATTAATAACTATTTTCAGACCGTGCTTGGAGATCAGGAGAAGAAAGTACCAGGGAGGGGTCACTCCCTGGAGCTGAAGAGGAGTTCCAACTCTGTCTCTCCAAGGGCAAAGGTGCCTGCCTGTCTGCTCCCTGGCACCCCTTTCAGGACGATGACTCACTCCAGCCTCTTTTCCCTTTTCACTTTCCTTTCTTCTTACTCCCCAATCTCCCTCCAGCCAGAGCAGAGGCCCATAGCTACCTGGCACCAGCCCCCTCATACATAAGCTCTGAAACCATATTCTATGGCTGGGGGGCCAGGCCTGTCATTCTCTCAGCCCCATGATTTCCTCTGGGTTTGTGTTCTCTCCCACCCAAGCAGCTTATTTTTAGACACAAAGGGAGAAAAATAAATTGAGAGCCACAATGCTACCATGTGTTTGATTGGGACCTTGTTGAAAAAGAAACTCTTAATTACCCAACCTCCATTCAAGGGATAATTAACAGATGGTATAATTTCCTAGCCTTCTCCACACCACATATGGCTATTAGGTGAGGGGCAGAGTGCCCATGCAGCCCCCAAATCTCTCCAAATTACAGAATCAAAAAAGCCTAGTGGGGCAGGGACCTGTTGTACTGAGAAGATTTAGACTAGGAGACAGGCTGGGTTCTAGCTCCAGCTCTGTTGTTCTCTAGCTGTGTGAGCTTGGGCAAGTCATTGTCTAGGCCTCAGCTTCCCCAGTGAAGAAAAAAACAAGAGGTTAGACTAGAGGGATGACAGCTTGTCTAGCTCAGAAGTTCTGTGATTCTGCAGGGGTCATTCAGTCCAGATAGAACTACTCTTTTTTTTTCCAAAATATTTTGTTTTTTTCCAATGACATGTAAAATTTTTTAACATTTTTTTAAATTTTGAATTCCAAATTCTCACTGAAAAGGCAAGTAATTTGATATAGATTATACATGTGCAGCAGATATGACTGCTCTTGACAACCCAGAAAAATAATCATTCTTCTAAAGGTATTCTAACAAAGGCAATGAATTCTTGGGAAGGCTCTCCCCCACAGGTAGAAAGAGCCCCAGATTGGGAATCCAGAGTTTTGACTCTACTACTAACAAATGGGGTGATCTCGAGCAAGTTAACTCCTCTAGGTCTCAGTTTCTTTTTCTGTGAAAGAAGGAGGTTGATACAATTGATTTCTTTCCTCTCTAAAATTCAAGATTTTAGGGACTGAATACATGTGTCCAATTTCTTTGTCTTTCATCTTTCACTGTCAGGAAGTTCTTCATAATAAGACATGGAGAAGGTATTGGATAGAGAGTTGGAAGATCTGAGTTCAAGTTCCATCTGCAAAACCTGGACTCCAGCACTGCCTCTGACGCATACTGGCTCATTCTGGCCAAGTCACTTTAATCTATCTCTCGGTGTTCTGGGCAACTAAGATTATAAATTGCAGAGAAAGGATTGACCTACTTTGGGAATTTTGCCTTAAGTCAATGAAGTCATAGGGCCAGTCCTTAATTTGACAGGTTGTGCAAGCTAAGTCCCAGAGAGGGAAAGTCATTTGTCCAAAGTCACACAGCACATTAGTGGTGGAGCTGGGACTGGAACCCAGGTCATGGATCTTAGGACTCAGAGATGGAAAGACTCCAACTAAGGCCTAGAGAAGCCAATTGACTAGCCCAGGATCACACAGCAAGTTAGTGGTAGGGGTGAGATCAGAGCTCCACTCTCTTATTTCTGGTGCCAGGCTCTTCCCACTATTACTCCAGGTTCTAGAGCCTTTGTCAGATTCTGGGGCTTCTCAAGGTCATTCTGCAGAGCCCCAGAGAGAATAATTCTCACTCTAGGACTTGGTAAGGGTCTTTTCTTCAGTGGAGAGCCACTGACTCCTCTCTGCCTGGGGTCTTAAGATCTATGTATAGCAGGAAGGATGACCTGAATTTTTACCTGAAAGTGAAAATAGTTACCAGCGTGCCTGAGGGTGACTTTGCCAGGACCAATGCTAAGTTTGAGAGTGTTTTGAAAATTTTTAAGATTTTTTAAAAGCTCTTTTCAAATTTAGGGCTGTGCCATTCTGGTTAGTATTCTTAGCCCTGGGCCTTGCCTCTTTGTTAAAGTCTCCATAGACTCTTAGGGAGCCTCATAAGGTGGCCCAGACAAAGGAAACCGGTTAGAGGACCTGGGTATGAGGGTCCAGGCATCAGGATCTTCGGGTTGGGGCAGGAGCCTGGCGGTGTAGTTGGAGAGGAGGAGTGGGCTGGGAGATAGGGCTGGGGGCGGGCCCACTTTAGCCCGCTCGGCCCTGGCGTCGCCGCTTTAAGAGTCGCATAGGAGAGGAGCAGGTCTATGGTAATGAGCCGCCCGCAGCCGCCGCTGCTCTGCAGAGCTCACCGCCGGGGAGGCGAGGCGAGCGCTGGGGGCTCGGTGCCAAAAGGGAGAGCCTGCCGGAGGCGCAGGGACAGAGTGAGGGTCTTGGAACGACTACCGGGGCTCTAGGGAAGGAGCTCCAGGGGTCCAGTGGGGCGATCTGGAGGCGCAGGTGGGAGATGTAGTAGCCCTGGGAAGGATCTGGAGGGGGAGGGGGAATACGGAGGGGGGGGGTGCGCAAGGACCGATGCCGAGCTGCGGGCGGTGTCGGGGAGCTCTTGGGGCTCAATAGGGAGAACTGAAGATCCAGGGCGCGGGGATCGGGAACCCTGAGGGAGAACCCCGGAGGTACAGGTGAGAGCCGAGGACGCAGGTGGGAGTTTCGGGGACGCAGGGGTAAAGACCCGGAGAAGCAGGGCAAAGATCTAGGAGAGAGCGGGATTCAGGAGTGTAGAGGGAGCTCGGAGGCGGACCTGGGAGCCCCCACCAGGGCTCCAGGCTGAGCTCGGAGGAGGGTCTGGGGGTGGGGGGACTAGGGGCGCAGGAGGGATTCTGAGCAGTTGCAGGGATCCAGGAGCCGCAGAGGAAAGATCAGGCCAGAGGTGAGCGGAGAAACTCTAGGGCGCAGGAGATCCGCTGAGGCCGGGGCCCCGAGGGAGCACGCACGGAAAGGTCCCGGGAATCAGGTGCCCCCGGCCCGGGCATGCGGCGCGGCGGGGCCGGGAGGAGCCGGAGGAGGAGCCGCCGCCGCCGCTGACCCGGCCGGGAGGAGGGAGAGATGCGGGGCCGGGTCGCCCGCGCCCCACTCCTGCTGCTGCCTCCGCCGCAGCTGCTGCTGTTGCTGCTGCTGCTACAGCTGGGCCCCGGGAGCTTCGCCCTGGCCCCATCGTCCTGCCGGTCCCTGGAAGTCCCGGACCTGAGCTCTCCAGCTCTCTGCACTCCCCAGCATTGGTTCTGCCCAGCCGGGACTGAGGGCCACTGGCTACACACCAGCCGCTGCCGGGCCTGGGGGCCTGAGCTGACTGGCCGCCTGGTGCCCCTGGATAGGTTTGGAAGCAGGAGGGCCTGGTGCCCAGAGCCTGGGGCTCATATTCCCCTGCCACCAGCCCCCATAGACTGCCCCTGGAGCTGCCGCCTGCTGGGTGCCCGAGGCCACGTCTCCCCACAGGGCAAGCTTACCCTGCCCCCAGGGCATCAGTGCATCCAGGTACCACAGCTTCAGTGCCAGCTCTGCAGGCTGGCATGGACCCAGGGGCACCAGATCGAAAAGTGGATGGCTGGGGTTCGCCCAGGAAGTCGAAGGAAACGCAATGTGAACACAGCCCCTCAATTCCAATCACCCGTCTATCAGGCCACCGTGCCTGAGAACCAGCCAGTGGGCACTCCTGTGGCATCACTTAAGGCTGTGGACCCAGACGAAGGTGAAGCGGGACGGCTAGAGTATACCATGGATGCCCTCTTTGATAGCAGATCCAACCAGTTCTTCTCCTTGGATCCAGTCACTGGAGCTGTGACTACTGCTGAGGAACTGGACCGGGAAACCAAGAGTACCCATGTCTTCAGGGTTACTGCCCAGGACCATGGTACACCTCGGCGAAGTGCCCTGGCCACACTAACCATCACGGTGACCGACACCAATGACCACAACCCCGTTTTTGAGCAGTCTGAGTACAAGGAGAGTTTGAGGGAGAACCTGGAAGTGGGCTATGAAGTACTTACAGTTCGAGCCACAGATGGTGATGCCCCTCCCAATGCCAATATCCTGTATCGTCTGGTGGAGGGGCCTGGTGGTACCCCCCCTGAGGTCTTTGAGATTGATCCCCGTTCTGGTGTGATTCGAACCCGGGGACCTGTGGACCGGGAGGCCATAGAATCATACCAGCTAACTGTGGAGGCAAGTGATCAGGGTCGCGATCCCGGTCCCCGGAGTGCCACAGCAGCTGTGTGTTTATCTGTGGAGGATGACAATGATAATGCCCCCCAGTTCAGTGAGAAGCGCTATGTGGTCCAGGTGAGGGAAGATGTGGCCCCTGGTGCCCCTGTGCTTCGGGTCACAGCTACAGACCGTGACAAAGGCAGCAACGCTTTGGTCCACTATAGTATCATGAGTGGCAATGCCCGTGGCCAGTTTTACTTGGATGCTCAGACAGGGGCACTGGATGTTGTGAGCCCCCTTGACTATGAGACAGCCAAGGAATATACCCTCCGGATTCGGGCCCAAGATGGGGGCCGCCCTCCACTCTCCAATGTCTCAGGCCTGGTGACAGTTCAAGTCCTAGACATCAATGACAATGCCCCCATTTTTGTCAGCACCCCCTTCCAAGCTACAGTACTAGAGAGTGTCCCACTGGGGTATCTGGTTCTCCATGTCCAGGCCATTGATGCCGATGCAGGTGACAATGCCCGTCTGGAGTATCGATTGGCAGGTGTTGGACCTGACTTTCCCTTCACCATCAATAATGGTACAGGTTGGATCTCTGTGGCTGCTGAGCTGGACCGGGAGGAGGTAGACTTCTACAGCTTTGGAGTGGAGGCGAGGGACCATGGCACACCCCCGTTGACAGCCTCTGCCAGCGTCAGTGTAACCATCCTTGATGTCAATGACAATAACCCAACTTTCACTCAGCCGGAGTATGCAGTGCGACTGAATGAGGATGCAGCCGTAGGTACCAGTGTAGTGACAGTTTCAGCTGTGGACCGAGATGCTCACAGTGTCATTACTTACCAGATTGCTAGTGGCAATACTCGCAACCGATTCTCCATCACCAGCCAGAGTGGTGGAGGGCTGGTTTCCCTGGCATTACCCCTCGACTACAAGTTGGAGCGGCAGTATGTGCTGGCCGTCACAGCCTCAGATGGCACACGTCAAGACACGGCCCAAGTTGTGGTGAATGTCACAGATGCCAACACCCACCGCCCAGTCTTCCAGAGCTCTCACTATACTGTGAATGTCAATGAGGACAGGCCAGCAGGCACTACTGTGGTCTTGATCAGTGCCACAGATGAAGACACGGGCGAGAATGCTCGCATCACCTATTTCATGGAGGATAGCATACCCCAGTTCCGCATCGACGGAGACACAGGAGCTGTCACCACCCAGGCTGAGCTGGACTATGAGGACCAGGTTTCCTACACTCTGGCCATCACTGCCCGGGACAATGGCATTCCCCAGAAGTCAGACACCACGTACTTGGAAATCCTAGTCAATGACGTCAATGATAACGCCCCCCAATTCCTGCGTGATTCCTATCAAGGCAGCATCTATGAGGATGTGCCCCCCTTCACCAGTGTCTTACAGATTTCAGCCACAGACCGTGATTCAGGATTAAATGGCAGAGTTTTCTACACCTTTCAAGGTGGGGATGATGGTGATGGCGACTTCATCGTTGAGTCCACATCAGGCATCGTGCGCACACTGCGGAGGTTAGACCGGGAGAATGTGGCCCAGTATGTCCTACGGGCATTTGCAGTGGACAAAGGAGTCCCCCCAGCCCGGACACCAGTGGAGGTGATGGTGACTATACTGGATGTGAATGACAATCCACCCGTTTTTGAACAAGACGAGTTTGACGTATTTGTGGAAGAGAACAGCCCTATCGGTTTGGCGGTGGCTCGAGTCACAGCCACAGACCCAGATGAGGGTACCAATGCCCAGATCATGTACCAGATTGTGGAGGGAAACATCCCTGAGGTCTTCCAGCTAGATATCTTTTCTGGGGAGCTGACTGCCTTGGTGGACCTGGACTATGAGACACGGGCAGAGTATGTCCTTGTCATCCAAGCCACCTCAGCCCCACTGGTGAGCCGGGCCACTGTACACGTCCGCCTCCTTGACCGCAATGACAACCCCCCTGTCCTGGGCAACTTTGAGATCCTCTTCAACAACTATGTCACCAACCGCTCCAGTAGCTTCCCTGGGGGAGCTATCGGCCGGGTGCCAGCCCACGACCCCGATGTCTCTGACACACTGAGCTATAGCTTTGAACGTGGGAATGAGCTCAGCTTGGTGCTGCTTAACACCTCCACGGGGGAACTGAGGCTGAGCAAGGCTCTGGACAACAACCGACCCTTGGAGGCCATCATGAGTGTGGCAGTGACAGGTAAGGGTTGAGTGTATGTGTTGGGGAAGTGCTGTGTGGTCCCCTGGAGCTTGGGAGGGGCTGTGAGGAAGTCTCAGGCCTGGGAGAGGCTGGCTGTGGGATTAGGGGAGGAGTCTACTCCCAGGGTTATGGAGGAGGAGACTGGGAATGAGGCAGTGTTGGGGTGAGGTGGGGGGGGAGCTGGCAGATAGACCCTCTGGAAGTGGAGGGTGGGTGCCTAATCCATTCCTCAATCCTGGGGGTCACTGTGGCCAAGGAAAGGCAATGACTGGCCTGGGAAAAGGAGTCCTAGCTCCTCTTGCTCTTTCCACCTCCTGTCCCTCCTGTCCCTGGGTTGGTCTGCTGCAGTTGGATGCCCCGGCCTCCCTTCTTCCCTCCCTACTCTGTGATGTGGGGGAGGGGGGAGGGCTTAGATTTTTACCCTGGAGCAAGAAACTAAAAAACTGCCAAGAAACTAAAAATCCTCTAGTGAGGGGACATTCCGGTGGGCAGGTGGGTTGAGGTGGAGAGATGAAGGTGGGTTTGAGTCTAAATTGTCCCTATGCCCAATCTGTCTTGGGCAGCTAGGAGAACATCCAGGTTTCCTTTCTACACATACCCCTATACTTTGACCATCTCCCCCAGACCCGTGCCCCGTGAGGCTTTTGTGATCTCATCTAGCAACTAGGGCCAAAGCTGGTCTGTGTCTGTGGAGGGGGGAGGGGGCACACAGTAAGGTCAGGACCCCAGAGTCCAGCCCCTTCTGGCCCCCTCTCCCTCTAGGCTAAGCAGGAGACTGACGGGGACTTTGTCTAGTACATTCTTTCCCCTCTAGGCTGAAAGAGCTGGGGCTGCTACCCCCCCTCCAGAGCTCACTGCAGGAAGTGAGCCCAGAGCTCATTGTCTCTGTCCAAACAAACCCCACTGTCACAGGCTAGGGTTTGGGGTCCTGGGGGGCAGGGGATGCAAAGTAGGCAGACACTAGCTGGGGCCCCCTGGATTCTTTGAGCCTGTATCTCCCTCCCACACACACACACACACACACACACACACACACCCAGGGGAGCCAACCTTCCCTTTCTCCCAGCTGAAAGTTGGATTCCCACAGGATGGCCTCCCTCCCCCAGGTCAAAGGAATGTGAATTTAGGGGGCCAGGATGGCTAGGGGACTTTCAGTATATGGAGGAAAGGATCCCTAGAACATTCTACCTCTTCCCTACCTTTTAAAGGGGTGTGTGTGTGTGTGTGTGTGTGTGTGTGTGTGTGTGTGTGTGTGTGTGTGAGAAAGAGAGAGAGAGAGAAAGAGAGAGAGAGATCTGGCCAGGACCCAAGCTGAGGCATTCCTGGTGCCCTGCAGAGCAGTACGGCCTGCAAACTCCCCTGGGGGCAGAGTGGAGGGCATTCTACTTCTTTCTGCTAGATAATATCCTCTTCTTTAGCATAGCTGCGGTTGGTGGGGAGATGAATCTTGGGGCTGAAAAACTGAGATTTCTCCCTGACACCAAGATGGGGAACAGATGAGACTCTCATGAGAGATTTCTGTCTAGGGTGGGAGGAGGTATGCAAAGAAATCATTTGGCACTAACAGCTAGGGGTAGAAGAGAGATGCCATCTGCCTATCCATATTGGGGTTAGAGTTGTAGACACATGTGGGGTCTTACCAGAACAGCAGCCTGATGTGAGAGGCCAAAAGGAAGGTGAACAGAGGGCTTCTACCTTCCCCACCCATGGGTCTGGGCAGGGGAGGGGCTAATTTTTTTTTTGTCAGATCCCTCTCCCCAGGTTTTTATAGGGGCCTTAGGGCATAGCTGGAAGCAGGAACTGTGAGAATCATACAGTATAAGAGCTGCAAAGAACATTAGAGAACTTCTTGTGCCATGCTCCCATTCTGCAGGTGAAGAAATTGAGTCCCAGGGAAATTAAGTGACTTGGGGAGAGTCCCTACCCTGCTTGGTCTCTCAGTTTCCCCTCTCCCAAGAGAAGGGCTCTTAAGTTAGAATCTGAATTTGAAAAAAAAATTGATAACTATATTTCAATAGAATTGGTTTCTTTTGTAATCCTATGGGTTTTTATTTTATGCATTTGAAAACATTATTCTGAGGAGTCCTTAAGTTTTACTAGACTCCAATGGGGTCCATGACACCAAAAAGGGTTAAAAACCCCTGTGTTATAGAGGTGGAGCTGAGCTCTTTATGGGGCAAGGGTTCAGAAGGCTGGGGTTCATAGGCTCATAGACTTAGGGCTGGTAGGGATCCTAGGGTTACTGAGTCTATTGGAAGTGTGGAAGAGCTAGGGTGAAGACTGATGATCTTTCCCTGGAGCAGGGGCACAACGAAACAGTGGGGCACTGGGGTGGAAAGGGAGAGGACGAAGTCCTGGAAGGGTACCTCCAGCTCTTTTACCCCTTGCCAGGGCCCAGTCTTTCTCAGTCCTTCATGGCCTTGTGATGCCCTGGTTCTCTCAGAGAATTAAACGGGGAGGGAATTCAGAGGCGCCTTGTGGTCCCACCCCTGCCCCTCCCCCAGATTCAGAACCCCCCCTCCCCCAGGCTCTGACCCTTGGAGGCAGTCACTATGGCAACCCCAAAGTTAAGCATTAGACTGAGGAGGGGGAAGCCCGTTGCTGCCCCTAGACCTTTGTCTCTCTTCCCCTATTCTTTGTCTCTTCTTTCTCTCTTTCTCTGGCCCATGTTGCTTTCCTCTTCTCCCTGCCCCCCCTCACCCTCCTATGCTGTGGATCTCTCTCCCTCTTTCTTCTGCTTGATTTTTTTTCTGTCTCATTCTGTTTGAATTTCTTTTATCTTCTTTTCCATCACTAGCTCCCTTTCTGTTTCTTTTCTCTCTTTTCTACCTCCCTAGGTCTCTCTTCCCATGTCTCTTTGTTTCTTTCCATGTATCTCTTTGTCTCTCTATCTAGATCCCTACTTCTGCTTTTCTGTCTCTCTTTGTCTCTCTCCCTCTCTTTCATTTTCCCCAGAGCCGCTATAGCCCCAACTTCGGTCCTAATGATCTTCCCTCAGTCTGATCGATCTCTCTCTCTCTCTCTCTCCCCCCGCCCCATCTTCCCCTTCTCAGTTCAGACATAAAGGTGCTTCCTGTTTAGTGCCCCTGATCCACTTTTCCCTTGGAGATGAGCATTTCTGGGCTGGGTTGTGTCCCCAGTATCTGGCAGAGGGACACTTTAGGACTGGAGTGGTTTCTGTGATTGCTATTGCCCTGGGGCCGTTCTTGAGTAATGAGGGATTATATAGAGAGCTGTAGTACTGGGTTCTGCTAGTGTTTTCTGGGTGCCTGATCCTGCCCATAGCCTTCTCCCATCCAGTCTGGAGGGTAGGTGGGTAAAGGGGCAGGCTTTCTTCTATCTTAACCCTCCCTTTTCCCCCAGTTTCCTAAAGCTCAGGCTCAGACTGCCCTTTTCTACTGGACAGTCATTCTCACACATCCGAACTTCTCTGGTGCCCAACTGGGGAGGATAAGAGGATGGGGTGGCAGCTGAGAAAGGAGAAAAGAGAACAGAGTGGGGCAGGTGGCTGTAAGTGGTAGACCAGATGGGAAGCAACAGGGTGGAGCAGGGGAGAAGAGGACAGACTAGAAATAAGGAGACAGACAGACACAGATGCCCAGGACGGGGTGGGGGGTGGGGTGGGAGGCTGGCCCCTAGAATCTCTCCCTGGAGTGGGGAAAATCTGGCCACCTGGGACACTGAGGGGAGAGCTGGAGATCCATTGATCAGCAGAGCTGAGTGTTAAAGGCTTCTCTTTCAGCTACGTGCCATGTGGTCAGACAGTCACTTTCTTAAACTCAGGTCTTTTGTGTGTATAGCTGAGAGCTGGATTCTGTGGAGGTAATAATGAAGGAGCAGAAAGTGCCCCTTTGTTTTAGGGGCTCTTAATCTAATGGGAAAAAAAATCCTAGAAATGCACAAGTGATATGAAAACAAGTAGAAATAATTGAGTCCTCCTACTGTTAGTAGCTAATGAGATTATCTTTATATCTTGTATGTCCATTTTGTGTGCATTGTCTATCCCGGAAGAAAGTGAGCTCCTCCAAGGCAGGGACTGAATTCTTGCCTTTATGCCAGCGTGTCCAGAACCCTTGGTCTGGAATCAGTAAGACCTGAGTTCAAATGCAGCCTCAGACACCTACTAGCTGTATGACGCTGGGCAGGTCACTTAACCTCTGTCTGCCTCAGCTTCCTCAACTGTAAAATGGGGATAATGATAGCACCTACTTCCCAGGGCTGTTGTGAGGATTGAATGAGATAATATTTGAAAAGTTCTTAGTGCAGTGCCTGGCACATAGCAGGCACTATATCAATGCTTATTTTTGCCCTTCCTTCCTTCCTTCCTTCCTTCCTTCCTTCCTTCCTTCCTTCCTTCCTTCCTTCCTTCCTTCCCTCCTTCCCTCCTTCCCTCCCTCCTTCCCTCCTTCCCTCCTTCCCTCCTTCCCTCCTTCCCTCCTTCCCTCCTTTCTTCCTTCCCTCCTTCCTTCCTTCCTTCCTTCCTTCCTTCCTTCCTTCCTTCCTTCCTTCCTTCCTTCCTTCCTTCCTTCCCTCCCTCCCTCTTCCCAGCACACCACACAGTGCATAGCGTCTAATAACTGCTTAATATATATTATTGACTGGCTGATTACAAACTCTGTAGTGGGAAAAATATTGGACTTAAAATCAGGAGAAGCAATGTTCAGAGTTTTGAATTTAACACTGCTCCCCTTGGCAAGTCCCTTAACGTCACTGTGCCTTAGTTTCTTCATGTGTAAAATGGGGTGATACATTTCCTACTTCTTAGGGTTGTGGCAAGGAAAGTGTTTGTTAAGCTAAAAGTGTTATGTAAATGTGAGTTATTGTTATCATTATCTCATTGGACTGTCATGAGGAAAGTGCTTCACAAGCAAAAAAAGTGATATAGAAATGTGAGAGCTGTTATTCATAATAATTCAACTGAACAAGCTTTTATAAGCTTTGACAGTATCAAGTTCACAGAGCTTGAATTTAAAACATCTGATTCTCCATCCCTTATGTGC